GCGAAGCGCTTGACTGAATTTCAAATAAACACACTTTAAAGGCATCCTTGTTGGCGTAATATTCTTTCCTTCTTCTCATATTGTTTCAATGATTTGTTCTTAATCGGACTTCACTTCATAAAAGTCACAAATCGCTGAAAATCTCTTCGAAACTGTGTATTCCCACTCCTTGTATCAACAAATATAGAATCGTGCGTATATTACGCAATCGGACTGGAAACCATGGAAACGAGAGATAAGTAGTCTACCAAAACAAAAGGAATCGCACATGCGCAGCACGGACTGTAACCCGTCTTTAAAGTTCAGTTCTTTCAAGTTTAGGAAATTTCAAACTAACTTGATGGATTGCTAGATGGCGTCGATTTTGATATTTTGATATTTCAGATTAACTTGATGGATTGCTTTCTTACGATGGCGTCGATTTTGGCTAGAATTGGATGCCCGCAAAGAAACTTCAATTTCATTAGTAACCTCCATGTGTGGAATATGTACTTGAGAATGCTAGAGAGTTGACTTCCGCAAACTTGATGACAAAGAGACAGTCAATATATAGTAATAGGATAAATTCATTCCTGCTTGAGCCATACCTTTTTGTAGTGAAAATAAATCAGCATTGCTAATTTGAAATATTTTGAAGGCTTTGCTTAGGTAGAGAAAGAAAATTTCATCAATCAATAACAACCCTATTTTTAAATAGAGTGCGACTATTCCTTTATGAACATTTTTATCAAGTGTTTGTTTACATGTACACTTTTCACAAGAAACTTTAAATTATTTCGTAACTTGTCGTAAACATTATCAAATCAAACTCATTCAACATTTCATCCCGTTTGTAAACCATGAGCTGGGAAAAGTAACCAAATGTAAAGCGGCCGATACTAGATGTCTTTAAAATAAACATATTGTTCAAACGATAAACACATCAACAGGCCTCCGTGTTAACTTTTGTTAATAGAGTACCGAACATTTATTGCTGACAGACAAAATATATGGGGGAAAATTAGTCATGTTCTTTTTTGTGAATGATTTAGGTGAACACTTACATCACGAGACTGAAAAAGAGAAACAGCGTTATTTTCTACCATTCTTTGGTTACAGAAGGTAGATAATTTTCAATATTATGAATCTTAAAAAAATCGATATTTGTGGCCTCACCTAAGAGAAGCATGCCCCGTGAGGCGATGTAAAAGGAAGATATGTTTCGGAAACCAGAACTCACACCTATATATAAGGACATAATGATTTCACCAACTGACAACTTGATAAAATATATCCACCCATACTTATAAACAATTAGAATGTCAGGGTCTACATAAATGGCAGTACCGATGCGATGCCGTAAAGAAAGATGGTGCCAGCAACCCTGCTGACAACTTGGGAAGTCAATGGACGATAGCCAAAGGTTTCCATACAATTCGTCTTCCCAATCCAGACAGAAATATGTGAGCCATATCGAACTTCGGGAATTCTGTGTGCCAGTTAAGCAGAACCAAACTAGTGAAACTACCCGATAAACATTGAACAACGTTCCAGTTGAACTTAACTCCCACCTGTTCTCACTTGCTATCTCCCACAACTGATAATCTGAACTGGATTCATGATACAAGAGAACAGCACATCCATCTGAACTTACTGCAACTGAAGTGGCATTGAAATTTGACTCAGGAATTTGTTGAGGATAAAGCATTTGGTTGCAAACTTTTAGAAGAGAAATTTCTTCATTGTCACTGAGTCGAATAACAAATACACCTTTTGAAAATTTCAGGACACTTTGAAAATTTATAGCAGATTCCTCAAGTTCATCTCCCAAGACGTTTCTTTGTGTTGAATTATAAGGATATTTTACCACCACTCCTTTACAAACCACCCAAAGATACAACTCTGACCACCAGCAAGCTTCCGGTGGTTGTTTCACTACAACAGTTTGCAATATTTTCCCATTATCAACACTTTTGATTTCCAAAATGCGATTTGTGTCACAGCACGCGACATACAAGTTGTCTGGAGACAATGCATAACATCTTATATCTGGAGTGTAGACATAACGAACAACAGAAGTTTCTGTAGGAGTTTCAAGCGATAGAACAAATACTTGATCATGACTTAAACAAACGAAAAAATTCGGCATCTAACTTTGCCATGTAATCGACAGAAGCGTTTTTTATTGGTAAACAATTAATATTAAACAACTGCATGACTTCCTGGTTTATAACGTCGTACACTACTACTATTCGCGAAAAAAGCGAAGAGTTGAATATAACACATTTTCTATCTTTCCATGAAAAAGGTTTTGAACAATATTTATTTGCAATCAGATCTATTTCACCGCTTGGCCAGTGGAAATGACGAATTTCAAATTTACCACAGGAATTAAAAATATTGCGGTCTGACGGTGAAATAATTTGATAGGAATCTTCATTTGTCAGGCAAGTGTTTGCACAACTGATGTTGTCAAGATCTATCCTTTCTAACGTTCTAGATTCCAAGAGTGCAATATCACTGAAATCAAATGCTTTCAGGTCGAGCATTACAGGTCGAGCAAGAATATACGAGTTACAGTTACTAAACATGCAATATTCTATGTCAACCTCAGTCCTAACTTGCACTAAAATATTTTTCTTTTTTACATCCCACACTTTAATCAGGTTTTTTTCAGATGTTACGAATTTCATTCCACATGAAGAAAATGAACAGCAATCAACATCTTCAGGGCCATGTGGAATAAACGGCACTTCTTTTTGTTCTCTAATAGAGATGCAAGACCTCATTGAATTGCATAAAAGATACGCAGAATCGGGAGAAAATATCAGAAATTGGGATAACTGTAGAGGGCATAACTTGCTCATTTCCAGATCAAAAACCATAGTAAGACCTGGAAATGCAAACACTTCCGTTGTCCGTTCACCTCTGTATGCTAGAAGCTTATTGTCTGGTGATAATGCCCTTGGGCGGAATATTTTCGCAAGTGATGATACTTCATTTCCCACGATGGCATGAGAAACAATTTTAAAATTAGAACATATTTCCCTTTCTATTTCTTCTACCCAAACCTCATTTGTTTCTTCTAAAATATCTCTGGCTTCAGTTTTACAATCAATGGTCTTGTGTACAACATCAAAATACCCGTTTGCAAGAGATTGCAAATAAATGTAAAATTTTCTCTTGTAATATTGACCTTCCATCAAAAGATGATCGCTCAAAATTTCCGAAAAAGCAAGGAGATGAATATTGCTCCAATAATGATAATCGGGATCTTTAATCTTATAAAATTTAAGAATACCAGAAATACTAACATTCAGACTGTCAAAACATTTTAGTTTCAAAAAATTTAGTCTAACATTCACCAGCCAGTGAAAATCCTCCGCAACACCAACATCCAACAAATATTTCCCACCATTCTTCAAAGCGTACTTTTTCTCAGGTGATATTTGAAAATCTGTAACTGCACCTAACGAATCAATATCGCTGTATATGTCGTCACAGGCACGCCAGAGCCGCTTGGTGCCGTCTGTAACATCTCCTACAAACGCATGCTCCTCATACCCATCTAATGTCAGCCAGTCCCACAAGGACTTGTGGTAAACAGTTAGGCAATCGTTGTAAAGTGGAAGAATTTCTGACATTATTCCAATAATCGTCTCGCGCATTACATACTCCTCACTGGACAAACCCAAACCCATACATGAAACAAGAATCTTCATTGGAAGGGGTTCCCTAGAAGCAGCAACAACATTTAAAAAACTTTTAAAGACCGATGACCATGTATCTGGGATAGAACTTTGGAGGCCTGTTTTCAAACGTTCGAACTGTTTTTCGTAAAACCCAGAAATACCTTTGGGGAGATAATCATTTAAGTTGGGTTCAATTCCCAAATCCATTTTTTTTAACGCAGTGACCAAGTAATAAGCGTACAGAAACGAACCTTCGCACTTCGAAATAAGTGAACTTACATTACCTTGATTCATGTTGGGTAAACAATGGTGAATGAAATGCTCTAAGTCGAGCTTGCGATGGCGATCGTCAGGAAGAATTTCCACGGGATTAAAATGTCGAAGTTTCTTCCGTAGTTGCAGCTCTGGTCTACTCGTAACAAATATCTTAATCCATTCCTGTAATTCAATAAATTCCTCTGATATTAACTCCAAAAATTCACTTTTGTCATCAGTTTTACTCTCGTCCAAAGCATCCACAACGATCATCATTGGTTCACGCCGGTCGAGGGCATGTAATGGATTGTTTAAAAGAACACGAAATGCGTCTGATAGTGATTCTCGAGAATGTTCACGACGAAGAACTTCAGTCAGTTTATCGCGAAACCCATCAACATTGTCGCACATTTGACTGGCAAGAGACTGGAGAATTCTGTGAGGATTTCTTGAATCAGCATTTCTATACAGTCGCAAAAATGGTATCCGGCTAGTTGACCGCGTTGTTTGTACAGCTCACAAACCTTCGCAGACAAAACACTCTTCGCAGCGCCAGGACCTGCAGTCAGGATCATAACTCTGGATTCTTCATCATCAAACCAACTTGACAGCTTATCAAAGAACCATTCTCTAGTGCCATTTTGAAACTTTTTACAAAGCCGATCAATTTTGCCAGTGTAGTCAAACTTAGCCAGTTGGTCGACTTGTGAGGGCACCACATTTTCAACTATCGTTCGTAACTCAAGAACTTCATTTTGCACATTGAGAACTCCTCTTTCAAGATCCTTTAGTTTTGACAAAAGATCGTCCTCTAGTTCTTTCCATTCCTTTAATTTTTCAATATAACTTTCTTCTTCAGGACTGAGAGGAGCTTCCTTTAATTCGTCAATATCTTGTTGAGGAATTCCTAACTTGATCAAAGGTTTTGCAATTTTCTGCCATAATGTTTCAAACGTGGTGTCGTCATATTGGGCAGTCGGTATATGACCATAGACCTCATTTCTGCAAATTTTGATTCTTAAAATATCAGCAGATATAGAGGTATCGCTGGCGACTGGCATAACACTCCATCCTGCTGCTGGTGAAGTCAAGCCACAAATATTTCTGAGTAGGATGGTCAATAAAGTGATATCAAAATTGTTTGAATCTGGTGTGCCCGAAACTGGAAAGAGTAAGTCCCATTGTGATGGTTTAATTACACTGTACCTTATCTTCTTTAATGTTGTTTTGTTGGGATTTAATACAGCAGCTAAAGTGGAGGGCGGATGTTTTGCATGTAAAGCTCCTCTTAACGCTTCGCCTCCTTTGTCAACCAAAAGTTGACATACTCTCGAATAATTAGCTTTGGCTTTTACTGGATCCATCATTGTCTTGATCAATTCTAAACAATAACATGAAATATTCATATGGTAACTGAGTTTCCACTAACATTTTGTAGAGATGTTTTGCGCAAAGTCAAAGTAAAACGTATACGCTGCAGCAGAATCGCAGGGGCGAAGGTTCGGTTCCTACCAGGAGGTTTATAATTCGTTGCTGTGTAATAGCAATATATAGTTTCTGTTTTTTTCAGCAAGCGTTCTGTATACAGCTAATTCAATGAAGGTTGTCCAGAGAAAACCGCCAAAGTTTGACCACTAAACGCGCAAAGCATTATTAATTTATTATTATGAGAATATTTATGCATACATATCAGCACATTTATGCCAACTTTAAAAAGTTTAAAAATCCACTGAATTCTGCCAAGTTTGCTATTGAATTGGGTTAGGCGGACAAATAAAATCCGAGGAAGACAAAAATCAACGGAAATGCCGGTACCAAAACGACTTGGGGAACGTAGCAACCGCGTAACTACGGAGTGTTCGGACTATCAATTACATACTGTATGTATGTCCATCGTGTTTTATGCGATGGTTTCGTGGTTTTGACTTTGAAAGTACAACCTTAATTGGATTAGCTGTATATGGAAACGGGTAACTTGGCACTTTTTTGTACGTTTCATGTTTCTTGGCAAAATTAATGCAATGAATTGTTTCGCTTGAACACTAAAAATTAAAATCTTCGCACTAAATGATTCACACGTATTTTGTGTTGTTTTCGTGATTTGCCAGACATACGCATTCTATATTGATTTTTCTATGTAGCCAACAAATTCTCATCTTTCTGGGATTTTGGTTCTCTAGCTGTTATAGGAACACCTAAAGGCAAGTTATGTGCAATGGACCATTTGCCAATTAACCAACATTTTGATCTCAACAAGTCTAGACAAATTTTCTATCATAGCATGAAAGAGCATCACAAAATTAGTAATATTCCAAAGTTTCGCTGCGAAATGTTGTAAAATGCGGATAATATAGCGTTGCGAAATTTGCAATTTTCAGTCATTTTAGATTACAAACGGGAAATGGTTGCCACTTTTCCAAAATTTTGATCTTAACTAGCCAAAACAAAAATTTCATCACAGCTTGAAAGAGCATCACAAAATAAGTAATATTCCAAAGTTTCGTTGCAAAATGTTGTAAAAATGCGGATAATATAGCCTTGCGAAATTTGTCATTTTCAGTCATTTTGTATTACGAACAGAAGTGGTAACTATTTCCCGTTTGTAATCTAAAATGACTGAAAATTGCAAATTTTGCAAGGCTACAGACGTATATTAGCCGCATTTTACAACATTTTGCAACGAAACTTTAGAATATTACTAATTTTGTGATGCTCTTTGAAGCTGTGATGAAATTTTTGTCTAGACTTGTTGAGTTCAAAATTTTGGTTAATTGGGGAATGGTCCATTGAACATGTAAAGGCATGCAGTCATCCAAGAATACTACTCTAAGTGCAGCCATACGTAACAATTAGTATGAAGCACTGAGTCAAACCTACAAAATATATTTCTTTTCTTGGCAGCAAAATCCCAAAACTAAAATTTCCCGCATAGGTAAATTTCAGAGAAATGCGATTCCACTCATGGTGGTAAACTTTTCTGCGCAAGACAATTTTTACACCATTTTTATAGCTCATAACCACGCCAAAAGTTAAAACTTTTTATGCGAATTCACTGACTATTGCTACTTCTAAACAGTGGCGTGACTCCTTTGGGCGCCGCTTGGCTCAAGCCAGGGGGCCGGAATCAATTAAGGGGGCCCTGAACTTGCAAGGATGACAAAGTGTCGAACTTGATGTATCTCTCATTGAGCAAAGGCATTTTGTTTTAAGAGTTTGTAACTCTATAGGTGAGAGTCAGTTAGTTTGTTACATTCCATTAAGAAAAGATCTTTGCTCGAAACATTGAGGTCTTTTTTATATTTCAGAAAGAGTAGTTATCATGTAAAGATAATTTGCTTGCTCTGATAACTGCTTGCTCATTTGAAGTCATCCCCAACTAAATATTTTATTTATAAAGGCTTACTGAAAACAAGCTATAATAAAGGTGACAATGAACTTCAATTGGTAGAAATTACGACTTACCAGATATGCAAAAATACTTTTTGAACTCAACATTTCCAATCGGTTTATTCTTCTTTTAATCGCGAGTGCAGGAATGCTTGTTACATCAATGTAATACCTGCAAGACATACATGCGTGATAAATTGATACGAAAGTATTTATAATTCAATAATACATAATATATGTATCACTAAAACTCCAGTACAGTAAAGGAAACAGTCTGTTAAAACAATAGGTTAAAAAGTGATGAAAAAGCAGCTCAATTCTTAGCTATTTTTTGTGCAATCACTTCATTTGGTTGTATAGTCTCGAGTGAAATCATCTTCCCGAGCTACTCTAGCCTGCGTGAGAGAGCCTGCAACAATCTCAAGGAAATTTGATAACTGCCCACTTATTACTATGATAATTTATTTCCAATCCAACCAATCATATTTTCTGAAATCGGTGTGCGTGATGCACTGTGAGTAATAACTATACATATACTTTAATTTATTACTATTGTAGTTCATATAGAGTGGCTCGAGAATTCAAACACTTTTAAAAAATTGGCAGTTTAAATTACTTTTGGAGTAAATAAAACAGAATTTACACCGGCGATGTCAGTTTGGTACATTTCGATACATTAGTATGCGATACAATTCGCTAGAACAAAACATTTTGACTTGATACTGCAGTTTAGATGTCGCTACTCAACAGACTATATAACATATTAATAATGAACGGAACTCAAAAATATATTTACATCAAAAGGAAGACAATACCATCTTAGGTCCAACATTACAATAAATTTCAAAATCATACATATTATGACAAGCTATGAGCGAATATATATGTTTCAAAATTGCAACGGCTCACGGCTGAACAGTATAAACGTTTACAAATTGACAAAAGCAAACTCTTAAACTATAAAAATATATCACAATACAAGCTAAAATGCTAAATTGCACTGTAGTTTGTAGTCTGCTGTAAAACTCATAAAAACCGATAAAAGCAACGTTTGTAGATCGAGTAGTAAGTTTCATAAAGACATAAAGCGACATGTATTTAATAGGATACATAATTTGTCAAAATCAGTATTTTCAAATTGATCGGGTATAGCTACTGTATTATTTAGAGAAATATCAACACGTGCATAGGTTTGTATCCATGCTCATCGACTTGTCAAGGCAGATATCCAATGAGAAACCTGCCAAAACATATCAACGATTTCCAGCTGTTCAGTTTTTAGTTTAAAACCCAAATTCACAGCACTCTTTCAAAATTTTACGCTAATATACGCTTTTATTGATGGCGTATAAACATTGCGCCACAACGATTGATGCGTATTTTGGCATACATTATGATTTCAACCAATAGCATTTTTGAGTCCGCTCACGGCCCCGAAATACCAAATTTCCTTGAGATTGTTGCAGGCTCTCTTTATTCCTTGAGCCTGCAGGCTAGAGCTACTCTGGCAAAGTTCTTGTATAATGGCTAATTAAGAATTAACCGTTAGCTAAGTTTGAGCTAAATTTTTACTTTGATCTATCATTTGACAATTGATCCTTTCTCAAAGGGAGGTATGTGACTTTTCAGGAGAGATGCAAAATGATCTCAAGGGAGGTGCGCACCTCCCCACACATCCCCTCAAAAATCCAACAGTAGTGGCAATCATTGCAAAGGAACTGTTTTTGTATGAATAAAATGGCACGCATAAAGACATTTAGACCCAATGGCTTCCTGATATCATGTGTGTATATGTACATTATCAAAAGCTACTGTAATCCATGATGGTGTGTCTCAGATAAAGATATGATTACTGTAACTAAATCAAGACTCGATTATTAACATCGAAAATTTTGTTTTATACAATTTTTAAATATATAAATTGATTGAGCTTGCTTGGCTTCAAGCGGAAGGTTATTCCAGAGATAAGCACCCCTATATTTAAAGATTCTTTTGAGAAATTCTCTGTTTGGCTTTGGAAGGGTCAGAAGGGTTTGAGCATTTCTAAGATTATAATTATTTAGTAAAATATTCCTACTTATAAATGAATCTTTCAGAATCGGTGCAGCACTATTACTCCAGACTTTATATAAAAAAGTTGCCTTGGTTAAGTACAATCTTGTTTCCAAATTTTCCCAGTCAAGAGTACGAAGAACGTCAGCAGATCTGATCTCATAACTGGCGCCAGCTATTATTCTGGCGGCCCCGATTTTGGAACTTTTGTGAATTATCTCTAAGTGTTTTGTTCCCTGCTGGCAGAGGTCTCTATTTGTGCTGGGAAGCGAAGCAGAAGAGACCTCTGCCTAGATCTGACACTTCCTCAGTCCATGATCGTGGACGAGTCAAACTAGTTTGTAAAACAAGTTCTGAAACCGGTTTAGAGAAACAATAGTACGCATGCTCAGAGCTGAATTACGCTGTAATAACATTGAGCCCGTAGTGGCTCTACGTAATGGCGGCTTGCACAGCGTGGTCATTTCGAGGTTTTTCATGTTGTTTGAAAGTGCTATAAGTTATGTAATTGATATTTTCAAAGATGAAACTGTGAAAGCAGTGACAGAAGAACAAAAGAAAGCAATCTTTTCTGTTTTATCAGGCCGAGATACATTTGTTTGCCTTCAAACTACGGTAAGTCTTTGAATTACCAAGTTGCTCCCGGAAAAACCGGTTTGATATCACGTGGTAAACATCACTCGTTGTCATGGCAATTTTTGCACATGCGCGACCGAAAACGCGTCAGATCTAGGCGGAGGTCTCTTCTGCTTCGCTTCCCAGCACAAATAGAGACCTCTGCCAGCAGGGAAAGTGTTTTGTTACACACACCCCAAAGGAGAGAGCAGTAATCGAAGTAAGTCTGTATCAGAGCATTATATCAATGTATTTACAGGAACATACTGTATATAGGGCTTAATACGTTTTAAAATTCCTATGCCCGCTCCGACTTTTTTGCAAATCATTTCAATATGTTCGTCTCAATTTAATGTTTCATCAAGTTTAACTCCCAGACACTGGATTGAGTGCACTTAGTGGGAATCAGTTGATCATTAATCATTACGGGGAACTCACTGTCAATTTTAGCAAGGTTATTATTTGATCTGACATACATTAATTTAGTTTTGCAAATGATGCTGCAGTTTGTTCAGTTTTGACCAGCAATTCACTAACATTGTTTAAATCATGATTTAAATTATAGCATTAAGTTCTACACAGTCTTTCGCCGATGAAAATATCTGTGAATCGTCAGCATATAAGCATGGGGTTCACTTCTCAAGACAATCATGCAGGTAAATCATTAATATACAATAAGAGCAATAAGGGGCCCAAAAGCTTTTCCAATATCAATAAAAACTACACCATTTAACTAGTTCATCATTATCCATATCCTCATACCATACATCGCACATGTGAATGAGTGCTGCCAGAGTAGAACTTTTTGGGCGAAACCCAAATTGATTTAGAAAGTAGAGAATTAGCGTTAAGAAATTCATACAATTGATTGAAAACGGATCTCTCGAAAATTTTACTAACAATCGGTAAGATTGATATTGGGCGATAATTTTAACATTTTTTTTCCTATCTTCAGATTTATAGATAGACATATCCTGAATTAGGTGATGATATCGTTGTATTAAACCTCGATAAAACAAAAATTTCTTTAATCAATGGACAGTTTGTGTTGTTACTTTGGTGTCCGTACTATACAGAGGCGTGACTCTGAACCTGCATTGTTAGAAAAAATAACTTAGCAGACTTACAAAATAGTTAGTTGCACTTCAGCGCTAGGTCTTCTTCTTATCCGCGTTTAGGACTGGTTATTACATATTACATATTACAGACCAAAAACAGATTAAAAACAAATATCATGCTTTAGAATGATTACGTTTTTAAAGTTATTTTCGGACGTCTTATCCAGAAGCATGCACCCTTCCATATCAAAATCTGTATGAAATGTCATGTTTAAACATTGTAATGTTTCAAAACCTTGTGTGACACATTCTGAGTAAATCGCCTTATTTCTTTGCGTTTTTGTAGACATTGCATTGTCATGGACTTCAAGTCAACCATGACAATGGAAAATTAAGATTTTTTGAAAACTGAAAATAACTTAGGGTTTTTAGGAATAATCATATACCTTCAATTAACAATCCCAAACATAGCAGGCTGTTACAAAGCTAATTAACAATATTAGCTCATTGTCTATCCGTTGAAGCGGGTCGATTTAGCAATTATAAAGTCCAGTCTTATTATCCACGTTCTTGTGTAGCAGCCATGCTAAGAATGTATTTCTCCTTGGCTTCTACGCCGCTATCAAGTGAAATTCCTGACCTCTGCGAAATACCTGACCAAGCGTAACGGGTCAGAAATTTCGCGCGTGCAGGCGCGAAATACATGACGCTTGCTAAATTCTATGTCGGCCAAAACTGTTTTTAGAGTTTAGATAAATTAATCATGATGTTAATTTCTAATACTTCGTTAAATATTTCAAATCGACATCGCTAAGTTTCAATCATAAACACTTTAAATTTCAAAGTGAATTGTGTGGTCGTGACCGCGAAATACAGACGTTTGCTAAATACAATCGGTCGAAACCGCGATTTTTAAGTCGTCAGATGTTACCAAATGTTTCTAATACAGACATCGCCAAATCTAAACGGCCAACTCACGAACTCATTGTTGCCGTGCTTGCTAAATAGTGAGAATTGAGAAGCTCAAACGCGAAACGATTTTTGGAGCTTATAGTAATGCATATAGCATAACCTTTGAAATTGGTGTCTATTTTATATCACTAAGTCTAATTAGAGCGCTTTTCGAGCGACTTTTTCCATATCTGCTATTCAAGCATTATTATCGCTGAACGCTAACGTTCACAATCAGTGGTTAGACCAATTTGACGTCAATTATGGGAAATCTTTGTCGTATTGTGGAAAAGACGTGCGGCGGCTATAATACGACGAATCAAAGTACACTGCTTGATTCATTTCATCATGTTATGCATGGTTTTATTCTCCTCTGTATTATACTATTTATACACACGTACAAACAACCATATCATTTTCAGATTCGTGATTTCAATCTCAGATTTAAATCTGAAAAGAGACGGATGATTTTCATAATAAAACCGCAATAACTTCGG